GTTCTGCGGAATGGGCTGGCTGTGCCTTAGGTTAGGGCTTTTCGCAGGTTAATTCTCTCTCTCTCTCTTGCTATCCCAGTTTAAGTTCCTAACTCACGTTAGCTCCCTCAGATTGCCCTCAGAGCATTCAGGTCCGGTCCTTACCCTAAGCAATGCCACCCGCTCCTCTCTGTTTAGCCCCCACTTGCTGGTGGCGGATGTGAGCGTCTGGGGTACTTTTCTGCAGGGAGTTGCTTTTAGGCATGTAATCTGTGGGTTTTATTTATTTCTCCTCCTGGTTAGGTTGCCCTCCAAGATTCGAAAACTTCCCCCAGACCCACCGGTGAGAGGGTTTCCTGGTGTTTGGAAACTTCCTCTATTAAAATAGACTCCCTTCCTGGGACGGATCTCTGTCCCTAACTCTTTTGTCTCTCTTTTTATCTCTTATATTTTGTCCTACCTCCTTTCGAAGACAATGGGCTGCTTTTCTGGGTGCCTGATGTCTTCTGCAAGTGATCAGAAGTTGTTTTGTGTAGTTTGCTCAGTGTTCAAACGTTCTTTCGATGAGTTTGTGGGGGAGAAAGTGGTCTCCCCGTCCTATTCCTCCGCCATCTTAGCTCCTCCCACATATGGTTATTGAATGCTTGGAATGTTCTAGTATGACTGAGGAACTGACTTTTTACTTTTATTTATTAATAATTTAAATAATTTAATGATTAATAATCTCCCTTGGACAGCAAGGAGATCTAACCAGTCCATCCTAAAGGACATCAGTCCTGGGTGTTCACTGGAAGGACTGATGCTGAAGCTGAAACTCCAATACTTTGGCCACCTGAAGTGAAGAGCTGCCTCACTGGAAAAGACCCTGATGCTGGGAAAGATTGAGGGCAGGAGGAGAAAAGGATTACAGAGGACAAGATGGTTGGAGAGGACGAGATGGTTGGATTGCATCATTGACTCAGTGGACATGAGTTTGAGCAAACTCTGGGAGATAGTGAAGGACAGGGAAGTCTGGCATGGGGTCACGAAGAGTCAGACATGACTGAGTGATTGAACAACAACAAATTAATAATTTTAACTAATTTAGGGGACTTCCCTGGTAGTCCAGTGGTTAAGAATCTGCCTGCCAATTCAGGGGACGGAGGTTCAATCCCTGATCAGGTAACTAAGATTCCACATGCTGCAGGGCATCTAAGTCTGCACACCACAACTACTGAGCCCATGCACCACAACTAGGGAGAAGCCTGTGTGCTGCAACTAAGACCTGATGCAGCCAAATAAATAAATAAATAAATATTAAAAAATAATCATTTTAATTCACTTAGATTTTAACAGTTACATGCAGCTAGTGGCGAATATGTTGGCCAGTTCATCTCTGTATGATAATATTGTGGCTTACACAGTTTTCCAAAAATTCATAAAAACATTCTTAAAAATCTAGAGTTGAAGACAATCATTCACAACATATTTCAAGGGTCGACTACTAGTGAATGAATAATTATTATTGCAACTTATGATGTATCTGAAAATAGTTATGAAGAAAACTTTTACAGCTTGCAGGAGTCACATGGCTAAGGAGGACTCTTATCTAATCAACCACTTAGAGGACAGAGTTAAGTTTTTTAATAGCAATCAAAGTAAGTCAAACCTGAGTTAATTTTAAGACCATAATATAATCGTTTCCTCTGTTGCAGGGAGGAGGGAAATGCTGTCCCTTAAGATTTTTGTCCAGTGCTGTAAAGATTCCATTATCTTATTCTGGGTCTTTTTCAAAAACCTCAAAAACCATTTAAAGTCAAATGGGATGTCCAAATGAAGTAATAGTGCTTTTTTTCCATTTCCAGTGGGTTGGAGGATAGGGAGTATGGTAAATGGGAGAAAGCTATCCTAGGAAGAATAAAGAAAAAGTGAGAAAAGTGATCTGGAACTATTTTCTAGTAGACCAAAGCTGTGGGGATTTTTACTGCTTTGTGATGGTTGTTCAATCCTAGTTCCAATTCTAATTTTGTGTTGTTTTCATTGAACTAAACTTAATGTTTTCTGTCAAAATATTTAAGTTTGAGAAAATGTGGCCTAGATTAAAAGTCAACAATAGTGGATAATAGCAAGTTCCTATTTTTAAAGTAATTATATCTCTGCTATGAATTTTTAAAGATAACATAAATCTAAAATGTGATTCATCTTCCATTTATTATAACTTATTGCTGGGATTTGTACTTAGATATTACCTTACATGATTTAAAAACCCCAAATCTTATTGAAATAATGGTAACTTTTGGCACTGAGAATTTGGCTGTAAGAAAACCACAGCCAACACCAGTATAATATTTATGGGCACTGAAACAGAATAAAAATATCAGCAAATGCCTCTGTCTGGCTTTTTGCTGATTTCTTTAATTTACCTTTAGTTTCCTCCGTGCATTGAATTTCCGCAGTTGCTCTACTGTTTCTGGAAGATGAATCTTGTAGGCATAACGATCCCGCTCCTAAAAAAAGATGAAAGATAATGAACACACATAGTTCTTTATAAAAGTGAAGAAGCTAAATTTAAAATAAACAACAAGCCCAATTGGGTATGAAGGTCAAAACTGATAGTAAAATAGTATTTTATCTTCATCAATAACAAAGGGCTAAAATAATGGTCCACGTACTTTTTCAGATACATGGCTATGTGACTAAAATAATTCATCATAATTATTATGAAGGCATGAAGTTAACTTTGACACAATCTTGTCAGGTAAAATGAGCCTTTAGGAAATTAACTCACAACTAATTCAGCATTCTGAGTTGTCAAGAATAACTGGATTTTAAAAGAAAAGTCACAGTATCTTCAAACTAGGACAAACTTATCAAGTCCATTCTAATCCAACCATTTCTCCATGTGGGATCTTCAATATCTGATGGATGACCACTCTGTTTGACTTCATACAATAGGAGAGTATCACTTTATGGCAGCCCACTACAATTTTAGTGAAAAATTCTTGAACGTGAAAAAATTCTTACTCAGCCCACCTGTGGCTTGTCTGGACTAGCTCTTCTCTTACTCTCACAGAGTAAACACAATCCCTCTTCCATATAATACCCCTTTAGTAGTTATGAGGGGGTTCATGCTTCCACTGAATCTACTCTTCTCTGTGATAACATCTCCAGTTGCCAACTTCTCATGTGTATTTCAAATCTCCTGTCATTCTCCTTATTGCCCTCTTTGGTTCTAATTTGTCAATGTATCTTGAAGATTTTATGCCACAGGTACTTATTTTAGAAATATTTCTTGAGTATCTACTATGTGCCAGGCATTGTTCTATGCACTTGGGATTAACAAGTAAACAAAACCTTAACAAAGATTCTGGCCCTCATGTAGTTCATATTTTAATGGGACAAGATAAGAAAACACAAAGAAGGGAAATTATAGAGTATGTTAAGAGTGCTATGGAATAAAGCAAAAAGAAAGGCAGGGTGAAGGTACATTGCAATTTAAAGTAGGGTGGTCAAAGTACAACCCAACTGAGAAAGTGACATCCAAGAGGTAAGGAGAGTGGTCTAGGCAGATAGAACAACTAAGTGCAAAGGCCTTTCAAAGGAGACAGTGTGCCTGAAATTTTCAATAAATAGCAAGGAGACCCATGTGTGTGGAGTAAATAGTAGATCAGATTAGAGAAGTGGCAAGGCTGGTGCAGGCCATCAGGGGCCTTTGGTTTTATTTTACACTTGATCTTAGCCAAAAGGCCGAGAAGCGATCTTTGGCTTTTATTTTGAGTGGGAGATGGAGCAACTGGGAGGTTAGAAGCTGGAGTGATGTGATCTGACAATGTAGAGGAATACTCTGGCTGTTGTGTTGAGACTAGATTGGAAAGGGGAGAGAATTAAAAAAATAAAAGCATGGTGACCAGTTAGGAGGTTATTGTAGTAATCCAGGGGGGAAATGATGGTGGATAAAACCAGATGGAAACAATAAAGAGAGTGAAAGGGAGATAGACTCTGAATGTAGTTTGTCTTCCTGAAAAAGTTTTACTGAGGTATAATTAGCATACAATTAACTGCACATATACGATGGGATAAGTTTTGACATATGTATACAAAAATAAAACCATCCCCACAACCATAATGAACATATCCAACACTCTCAAAAGCTTTCTTGTGTCTCTTTTGTCACCCCCTTCTCCATCCCCAGGCAATCACTGATCTATTCTGTTACTTTAGATTAGTTTGCATTTCCTAGAATTTTATATAAATGGGATAATACAGTATATATTAATTATTATCCAACTTTATTCACTCTGCTTAAATATTTTAGCTTCACCCACATTGTTGCATGTATCAATAGTTCATTCTGTTTTATTGCTGGGGTTATTTCATTGAATGTGCTGTGCTTAGTCGCTCAGTCGTGTCTGACTCTTTGCAACCCCATGGACTGTAGCCCACCAGGATCCTCTGTCCATGGGCATTCTCCAGGCAAGAATACTGGAGTGGGCTGCCATGCCCTCCACCAGGGGATCTTCCTAACCCGGGGATCGAACCTAGGTCTCCTGCACTGCAGGCAGATTCTTTACCATCTGAGCCACCAGAGAAGCCCATTCTATTGAATAGATGTACCATAACTTGTTTATCCATTCACCTGTTAATGCACCCTGGGTTGTTTCCAATTTTTTCCTGTTATGTATAGGGATGCTATGAACATTAATGTACAAGTCTCTGTATGGACCTAAGTTTCATTTCTCTTAGGCAAACATGTAGGAGTAGAATGGCTAGGTCATTTTATAAGAATATGTTAAACTTTTTAGGAAACTATGAAACAGTTTTCCAAAGTGGCTGTACCATTTTATGTTCCCACAATAGGTATGAGTTCCAGTTGTTCAACATCCTCACCAACACTTGGTGAGCCCCTGGGTAGCATACAAGAAGGACAGACTAGATGAGTACTGCAAAGGCATTGAAAATGAAACTGGCATTTGAACCATAGTGCGTAAAAATGAGCTAGGACGTGTGTTCTGAATCTAACTGGGTTAACTGCCTACCAAAATAGAAGATTTAAATAAGAATCATAGTCTTATAACATAATAATACCAGAAATGCCCAGCACACTATCCAAAATTACTCTTCATACTAAGAACCAGGAAAATCTCAACTAAATTAAATTTAAACACTTCTACTCTATAGGCTTTAACCCTTCTATAGGCTTCCTAATTCTGAATATCTCAAATCACTCACCAAGCCTCATCAATTTTCCTTAATCGCTCTCAGTTTGGATACTTCTTTCCCATTCCCACTATGACTCCCTGGTTCAGGCCCTGTCACTTCCTGACTGGACAGACCAGCTTCTATAGGACCTTTTTGTCTCTACTGCTTGTATCCTGACAGGACACCTACCTGTGCACAGTGTCCAAAGGAATTACATGAGCATGCTGCTCATATAATTTTGCATCACTCAAAAGCTTGCAGTAGCTTTTTACTCTCTATACCCTAATATCTAAAGTACCAAATTTGGCATTCTAGATAAATTCTTCCCTCAAACCAAATTTTCAGTCTACTGCAACCCTACTTAAATAGCTGACATTTTGTACGATACCAGTGTTTCCTGACCCCTTCCCTGAATACCCTGAACACTTAAAATGCTGTGCCTCCTCTGTGCCTCCCACATGGGGTATATGGCCCCTTTAGTCGTATTAACATGTGCAGCCTCCCTCCCCACTAGCTAGTAGCACTAGCCTACAGTGACTTCTCATGCTCCCCGTTAGTCTCCCAGGGACCATACTTCCATATTCTTGTGAGATGCCTCTCACGTGTAACTTCTTTGAGGTTATCTTTCTGTGTCTTTATATCAACAGCATTTGAAATTTCATTTCATGGTCTCACCATGCCTTTCTCTCTTTAATATGTTGGGAAGTTTAGAAGATAACAGACAGTGAAGTGAAAAGGGAGAGAATGATACACTCAAACATTTTTTAAAAATAAAATTATGCTTATATTATGATTCCTGATATTTTCTAAGCAGATGAAATCATAAGATTAAAAAAGTCTATTAACGTACTTCTTACCACAAAACAAGTAAATATTAACTCCACAGCATTATAAAATTAAGACAAAAGAATAAAAATAATATTTTCCAGATTAAATAGTCCTACCTGAAACTAACAGTACTGTGATATGAATTCAGAAAAATGTCATTAGCAATGTGTCTTGCATTTAAAGAAGTGTTGGATTCACTATCCATTGTGCACACGAGATGTTAAATACACATTTAATTGATGTGTTGATTGATTCTTCCAAAATTCAAATTGATTAGGTTAATATAAATACCCTTTTCATCTTTATTATAGTCAATACACTTGGAATCTACATATTAAGGCTACAAAGGGTGTGAAAAGAGCTTAACTGCCTGTGAGAAAATTATAATCTTAGTTGGTCTTACTTTTGTTGGAATGAATATTTACAGCAAACAGCACTAATTTAGATAAAAGTATTAAACAGGTGTAATTTAACAACTTCAAGACATTCACATATTAATTGGTCTATTTACTCAAATTCCCATTTTATATGTCATGATTGAATAGGACTTTTTTTGTGGTCTTGCCAAAGAAATAATATTTTTTTTTGACACAAAACAGTGGTATCATGACTATGGGTACTCCTTACTACAAGGATTTTCATAATTTTACTTCTTTACATTGCAGTTACTCAGGAGTTTTTAATATTTAAACTTTGGCTGGAATTTTAGCTATTACTACATTACCACCACTTCTATGCACAGCAATGATTTAAAAGTATACATGGAAAAGTACTGAAATGTAACAAGCCTGTTCTCATCAGCTTGATAACATTCTCAATGAATTTTTCCATCTTCAGATAATATACTGTAGTGAAAAGTCTTCAGGAATTTTTTTCATTTAAGTTACTGGCACTTTTGTCTTTTGTCTTTGTGGTGCCAGAAATCTGTTGTCTATTAAACTCAGATTATTTGGCAAAAGAACTATAATCATTGCAGGGATAAGAGTTTCCAAAAATAAATATTATTAGTCAACATATGCAAGATAATGAAAGCCAACTTTTCTAAAGGATATTAAAAATGACTAATATGGCTGCCATTTTTACTGTTACTTGGCATTTAAACTAGCTGCAAACAAAAAAAAAGATTCTCACGATAAGAAACTGAGAAAAGCAAAGGAAAATCAGGAGGTTCCCTTGAATTGTTTATTTCTGGGAGAAAATAAGTACTAAGAAAGTACCTCAGAACTGTTCACTCTTTTCTGGAGGAAGTCAGGAATAACTATAGCTGGGGAATTCAAGTCAAGAATAGCTAGAGCTGAGTATCAGAGGATTGAATGCTGATGTGAAAAGTAATATTCTTCAGGAGAATCAAAATCTACTGGAATTTCAACATTGTTCAGTCATACTATTATCCCATGTCATCTTAAGGTACACTATTAATCTATGTTTAAATATTATTATTTTATATAATTTCTGCGGAGCTACCATGGTATAGTAGTGTGAACACATTTATACATTCACTCATTAAATCATGAACTGATATTTATGAGCACCTACTAAATGTCAGGGGCTTCTCAGGTGGCGCTAGTGGTAAAGAACCCATCTGCCAATGTAGGAGATATAAGAGAAACAGGTTTGATTCCTGGGTGGGGAAGATCCCTTGGAGGAGGGTATGGCAACCCACTCCAGTCTTCTTGCCTGGAGAATTCCATGGACAGAGGAGCCTGGCGGGCTACAGTTCATAAGGTCGCAATGAGTCAGATACAACTGAAGCGACTTAGCATGCACACACTACATGTCAGACACTTTCAAAGGTTCTATACAGAAGTGAACCAAGAGACAAAAATTCTTGCTCTGTATGCAGCTTATATTTTATGGAAGTAGAGAAACAAATAAATAAAATGTAAATATGTCTCATGGTGACCAAGGCTATGGAAAAAAAGTAAGGCAGAAAAGGGGGGTAGGGAATACTGGTGGCAGGGGACATTTCTTCCCTCATATTTTAAATTGGGTGGTCAGGGAAGATCTCACTAAGAAGCTGCTATCTAAGCAAAGAATGAAGATGGTGAGGGAATAAGCCATGAAGATAGCTTGGGGAATAGTATTCTAGGGAAAGGCATTACTAACACAGGCACTGAGGCAAGTGTGGGCCTGCTATTTGAGGAAAAGTGAGGAGGCTGACATGAGGGCACAAAGTGAGAAGAGGAGAGTAGGAAGGGGTGAAGTCAGAGAGGTATCAGGGAGTGAAATGGTAAACTAAATTAATAATACTTCAGGGGACAGGTCTAGCCTAAAGGTGTAAACCCAGGGTGTACAGATAGCATTTGAAGCCATTAAAACTACTGGCAGACGAGGTCTCCAAGGGTCTGGGGCTTCCCTGGTGGCTCAGCTGGTAAAGAATCCACCTGCAATGCAGGAGACCTGGGTTTGGACCCTGGGTTGGGGAGATCTCCTGGAGAAGGGAATGGCTACCCACTCTAGTATTCTGGCCTGGAGAACTGCATGGACTGTATAGTCCATGGGGTCACAAAGAGTCAGACATGACTGAACAACTTTCACTCTCACTTTCCAAGGGTCTGAGTGTAGACAGGAAGAGGAAGAGCAAGGGGCTGTAGCACTCCATTGGGAAGACATGGTGCAGGGAGGCGAAGAAGAATCAGCAGGATCTGGAAGGGGCTGCCACAGAGGTAGAAGGGAAACCAGGAAGAGAGGTGCCCTGAGGCCAAGGGAAGACAGAGTTCCAGAAGTATGGATGTCCGATTGTTGATATGCCAAGAGGGAGAATCATGAGATCTGACCACTAGACTCAGCAACATGAAGGTCACTGGTGACTTGATGACTTGACAAGAGCTATTTTAGTGGAGTTGGTAGGATTGCAACACTGACTAGGGTGGGTTCAAGAGAAAGAGATGGGAGAAACTGGGGAAAGTGAGTAGAAATAACACTTTCTAGGAGTTTTGCTGTCAAGGGGAGCAGAGAACAGAGGGAGTCTGGAGCGGGTTGTAGGGTTAGGAGAACATGCGCGTGTGTGTGTAATGAAAATAAATGGTAGCTTGTTAGATCCCGCAGAGATAGGAAGGTGCTGATGCAGGGAAGGGCTCACAAGTGGGAGTGCTGACCTTGAGTAAGTGAATGGGATAGGATCTTGAGTACAAGGGAAAGGGGTGTGGTAGGCTGAATCCTGGTTCTAACATCAACAACTTTTGTGACTTGGGGCAAGATTCTTAACCTGAGGCTTAGTTTTCTCACACGTAAAGTGAGAATTTCCTGGAACTGTTGAACACTATAATGTCTTCATCAAATAGTACTATCTCACTGAAGTCTCAAGTTATAATTTTCTTTAATAGCAATACTTCATTGGCAGGATAGACTATAAAAAGAACTTTTAAAATCTGCTTTTTCTAGAGCCTGGGAGCCACAACTACTGAAGCCCACACACCCTGGAGCTCCTGCTCCACAACAGAAGAAGTCCCTGTGATGAGAAGCCTGCACACCACAACTAGAGAGAAGTTCCCTCTTGCTGCAATTAGAGAAAGCCAGCATGTAGCAATGGAGACCCAAGTGAAAATTAAGTCGCTTAGTCGTGTCTGACTCTTTGCGACTTCATGGACTACAGCCTACCAGGCTCCTCCATCCCTGGGATTTTCCAGGCAAGAGTACTGGAGTGGTTGTCATTTCAGTCTCCAGGGGATCTTCCCAACCCAGGGATCGAACCCAGGTCTTCCATATTGCAGGAAGATGCCTTACCATCTGAGCCACCAGGGAAGCACCCAGCACAGCCATAAATAAATAAATAAAATTTAAAAAATCTTTTTCTTAAGAAAATAAATCTGTATCTAGTATCTATTGAAATAAAAATAATGCTATAAAGTATACAGTCACAACCAAAGCAATGATAATCGCTTTTTCAATATCACACACTAAGTGCGCTTTCTGTTGTTCATGTTGTGCATCCTTGGAAGATGTGTTGGTAGAGAACAAACAAGCCTTCCTCTGAGATGGATTTTGCCTTAATCCTCTTCTTTACCCTCTTGTGATAAAGCCGAATGTCATTCAAATGGTACGTCCTCTTAGATGTTTACAGAGAATGCACAGAAACAGTAAATAAGGTGAACAAAACTAATTTAAAAAATGCTCAGAAAAAAAAGGGTGGAAAGGGGCACCTTACAGAGTAATGCATTCTTGTCACTGGAACTGTCTAAGTAAAGTGCAGATGGCCACCTAAGAACTCACATACCTTAAGCCATGGGTGATTCAGTGCTTCATAAACAGTGATCCTCTCGGCAGGATCCAGCATCAGCATTCGGCGTACGAGGTCTTTGGCACTTTCAGAGATATGGCTCCACTGCCTTGGATTCATCTGAAGAGGGGGAAAGGAAAATTATACAGTTAGGTTCAGTGAGACGTTAATATTCACTGTTAATATTCCTACACTGTTTTAATGCAAATAAGATTCAGGTAGCAAAGTAGAGAAATCAGATTCTAAAGACTTGCTTTCTAAGGAAGAAGAGGACTGAGGTCATGCATTTCCTGTTGCTCAACACATGAGACTTTGCATCAGTAAACACTCTTTATACATACTCTGGTTAGATATATAAAAATATTTTTAATAATTGAAGAACAGAATGTTCACGATTCCAGGTTCTATCTCAGGTAAAATAAAGAGTCTAGCATCTAGACTCTAAGGAGATGAGAATACTTTGATCTAGAAAGGACTAAAATAAAATTTAAAAATTTTAAAGAAGTATTTTTAATATTTTGTTTTTAAAACTGGGAATTAGTGGTAACTGTGAAGCCACACAAAGTAGCTTTTATTAATAGGATACTTTGGTCACTGTATGTCATTTTCAGCATTTAGGAAAAAATATATTACTATAGGCCTTACAAAAAACCCAATTTACTTGTATATTATTCTTAGTGAAGTGACATTTTTTCCTCTTTTAGAGATGAGACAACTAAGCCACAAGGTAAGTTGGCTAAAGCCAAACAAAATAATAAATTATGAGCTTTTCTTAAGACACAGGACTCATGAGCAAGGCTGTGGATCTCTGAGGAAAAGAGCTGGAAGACTCCTGGGGAAAGAGGTATATCTGAGACCAAGAACCAGGAAGAAATGGAAAGGAATGCTTGGGGCTTGGAGTTGGGAAGGCAAGTAGGGACATAAGGGAAGAGGCGGAGCCGGGTCTCACTCCCTATTTAATATCAGGAAACTGACTGAGTGAGTGAGCGCGTAGGAGCTGTCTGTTGCCAGGAGCTTTAAGCAATGCCATGGCTTTAACCGGCAGAGACCCATGTCACTTTCTGTGGGAGAAAGATGCAGAATAAAGTCCCAACACTTTAAAGCCAAATGAAATCACTGCTTGCATTGTAGTACACACGAATCATTATAATCTGGCCAAGGTTTAGCATCAGGCATTTTGCTCTGGCTAATGTGAAGCTTTGTTCTAGTAGATAGAGAGTGGAAAATGTTCCATCTTCTTTGTATAACAGGCAGAATTCTAAGCGGTAGTCACTTCTCTTGTCAGATCCCTTAATTAAAAGTGAATGCCGTGAAACTGTTGAAATACTGTCATCCTACTGAAAATGTGATCGGTTGACGAGTTTGAAATAGGGAGGCGAGTGATTAGACGGGGTTTAGACAGCCTTGCTTCCTCTTCACCATCCTGGAGATAATGTTCTCTTTCATGTCTGAATGATCTGTTCTCAGGAAAGGTGTTGAGAAACCATCTGAAAATGGTCATAAGATTTCTGAAGTGAACAGAAGTTGAGAAGTATACTTCCTGGTCCTTTTCATGAGGGAGCCCAATCCAGGGTTTTCTCTTTGGCAGAGAAGAGTAGCAGATATTAATTTGGGAGGTTGAGTATATCTTTACCATCTGAGCCATCAGGGAAGCCCTTGAATATATAAGGGAGAACAAAACAGGGCTATAAAGCAGTCAATTATTTGAATATGAAAGCGAGGCAACTGAGAACTTCTGCTGTGTAGACACCAATTGGATATCCAGAAACAAGTGATATAAGGTGACATTGTATCTTTTATAGACTTTGGGAAATATATTTTTGTCCTTTATGAAAAATTAATTGAAATTAAATGTCAGCATATATTTTAGCTAAAGTATTCTCTCCTATCGACCTTAAAAGATCAATAAGTTAGTAAACGAGAATAAAAAGTTAAAATTGTTTAAGACCAGTAGCAGTTTATAAACTATGACATTTTGTCATCAAAATTTTCTTGAAAATACTCCTAGAGATCAAGGATTTTTAATTTTTGTTGTTGTTAAGAACTACCAGGGTGGCAAAATATTTTTGAGATCTGCTCCAAAATAATCTAGTAGCATGTAGAATATAGATAAAACAAGATTGGCTGGATGTTGATAAATATTAAAACTGTGGGTTCATTATACTATTATCTCTACTATTTTGTTAGAAATTTTCAGTAATAAAAAATTTAAAAATGAATGCTGACACAATCATAGTATTTTTTCTAAAGGCCCAGTAGAGTCATCACTGATAGTAAAGATGGATCTGTACTTCAAACTAAGCTACTGAAAACCTAGGGCCTTTGTAAGGAAAGCCATGAGTATAAGCGAGAGGTGAAGTTAGCCAAGTAAGAGTAAATATATTATTAACTTTAAACCCCCAGGTACAGAAATTATAGTATAGCTGCCACCATCCACCTGACTTATTATACTAGAATACTAAGAATAGGAAATTTTAAAACAATTAATCTTTTGGACATATTTGACTAGTCCAAATTTTTTTCTAAACAAAGAAACAAAGATAACTATTCAATGTTTTAAAAATAGACAAAATCAAATACCAAGAAGCCGTTGGAATGAAGCACATTGCCTTGGAAACCAGGAAGTTAGCAACTGAACAAACACAAAGGAAGAATTCTATTATTAGCAAATGCTTATAGCTCAAGAAGGCAGGTGGGAGATTTTATTATATGGTACCTACGTCATAAGTTGCTGTGAGGATGAAAAGAGTTAATATAAGTAAAGTGCTTAGAACAGTTCCTGGAACATAGTAAGCACTATGTATGAGTTAGCTATCATTATTGCTAGTATTATTATTACACAGATAGATTACTGTGTTTATTTTCACATGTTAGTATCTGATTTCACTTGGCAAAATTCAACAAGAAAGCCATAACCGTGCATTCCTGATAGCCACCCACAATTTCCAGGGATTGAAGGGAGATGATTACTTACAAGCAGTTTCCTGAGACTTTTAGTTACCTTGAAAGGATTGATTTTATTCCCCAATGGTCAACTGACTCTAAGAGAAGCAGAAAAACCTATACGTAAAATGTCTTTCTCTGTTAACAGAGTTTTCCCATAGATCTTCATCTAAATAAAGACAAACCTGTGTACCTTTATATGTAAGCTGATGGTATACAAGGAAAAAAGTACAAACCATTCTCACCAACTCACTTCCACAAGCTTCAGTTGTGATTTACAGAATAAGGCCACAACTCTGAAATTACTTTACCTTCATTTCTTTTTTTTTCTCTTAAGTTTTGTCAAGTCCCCTATAAAATTCTAACATTACTGAGGAACAGGAAAAAAAAAACTTTAGGGGTCTCAGAGTTTTGGAGTGTAGTGTTATATGAATATAAACCTGTGTGTTTGGTTTTTATGTTGCCAGGCATGGCTGAAAACGAAAACAGTGATTTTGCTGAATAGAAAGTGCATGTGTTAGGGAGAAGGCGAGGGTGGGATGTTTTGAGAGAACAGCATTGAAACATGTGTATTATCTAGGGTGAAACAGATCACCAGCCCAGACTGGATGCATGGGACAAGTGCTCGGGCCTGGTGCACTGGGAAGACCCAGGGGAATTGGGTGGAGAGGGAGGTGGGAGGGGGGATCGGGATGGGGAATACATGTAAATCCATGGCTGATTCATGTCAATGTATGACAAAAACCACTATAATATTGTAAAGTAATTAGCCTCCAACTAATAAAAATAAATGAAAAAAAAAAAGAAAGTGCATGTGTTAATAATAACAGGAGAAAGGAGAACTTCCTCAAAATAAACTGCCCTGATTTGATAGCCAGACACATACTCCTCTGTGCTTCCCATACAGAGCATCGTATTCCATCAGCCATACAAGGTGGCACAGGGCAATAAAGTGTAAAAGCTAGGGTAGTGAAACCAACCCCAAGCTTATTTTCAAGAACCTCCTAGGTCTTTTTGGTATAGCCACTCATGACGTCAGTAATGGCTTCTTAAATTATTTAGTAATGAAAGTAATAATGTACTAATCAAAAGTCTGGGAATAGTACATGTAGTTTCCAATTCACAGGAGCCAAAGATGAATATAAATATTTAAATCACACCAAGATGGCTCTAAATTACATTATGAAAAACAGTTGTGATACTAGCATTTCAGTTTATCCTGGAAGGTAAATGGCAATTTTTTTAGCTGTGTTGGCTGACTACATAAAATGCAATAAAATAACACGCATACTAGAGCAAAAACAAAGAAAGGATAATAGACACTAAACCTAAAAGTAAGATAAAGAATTACTAAAATTACCTGGATGAAATTTCCATTTTAACTTTAGAAATGAAGTAATAAAAATAAAGCCCTTTTCTCAAATTACACAAAGAAGGGCCAAAGAAGTTTATGCTCCAGCTCAGCCTGAATAAATGGGTTCGATCACCAGACAGCTAATGAATATTTTAAAATCTGGGCTCGGGTCTGTCACAGACACCTTACCCAGGGTAAAATAAAAGCTCACATTCTCTCACAGTAAATTCCAAGGAGTATTCCAAATTCTTTCCCTGAATTAGAATTTTATTTGAAATAAGTGGGGCACAAACGAATTACTATGAATTTGAGTTAGCTAAACAGGCAGTTTTGCTAGAATGTATTTGTGGTCAAAGATTTTGACTTGTAGTGTGGCTCTGTGACTCTGAGGGCCCAGAATGTGGAGGAAAATGGGAACATCCATGGGGTCTCTGGTCTTTATACTGTATCAAAGACAAGTTGGGTCCCTATTTTCTGGACTAAACATAGAGTTGGAATCCAAATACATGGGATAGACTAGAGGCAGCACAGAGGGAATGAGAAGGGAGGAGTGAGGCAATGGTTTTTTTTAAAGTCAGTCATCTGGATGATAATTTGGCTGAGAGCGACTCTGAAATTTACTTGAGAGCTTTGTTGCCTAACAAGGCTAGTGGATCAAAGATGCAAGCAAAATAGTTTTCTTGGACTCGGTAACTACGTTGACATCAATAAACAATCCAAAGAGAGACAATAACTTAAAACATTTTTTTTCAGAATAATTTAATCTCAATGGAAAGATAAAACATTCATAATATATTACCTTATATTTTCCTTTAATAATGCCTTCAAACAATCTTTCCTTGGTTCCATAAAAAGGCAAACAACCGCTTAGCAGGATAAAAAGGATCACGCCACAACCCCAGACATCTACAGGTTTTCCATAAGGCTCTCTCTTGACAACTTCTGGGGCCATAAAATGAGGTGTTCCAACACGCCCTATATTTAAAATGACAACATCAAGGAAAAAGTGTTTACATAAAATGGGCTTCCTCTCCATTTGAAAACTGAAAATAACAGTGTGAATAACAAGTTTAACAATGTAAATATTACCACCTTTTCCCTCCTCTATAAAATCAAGGAAAAAAAAGGCAGAAAGAAAAAAATTATTTATCTAATCACCTCTTGAAAATACTGAGTCCAGGAGAGAGAGGTACTCTGTCTTCTAACTCTGCTACTTCCTATTGAATTCTGCAGAGTGCATGGTAAATATTTACCTATTTCTTACATCATGAAGAAGTTGTTTAAATTTTATAATTTTCACATGTTTGAAAAAAATTACTAAAAATACAGAGCAGAGACAGTGGTAGGGAGAGGGGGGAACAAGTGAGAAAATACCCGTGGAGAAAAAGATTACTTTTGATTGCCAAACAGAAATTCTCAAATTAAACATAATGCTGAGAACTTTTGCTTGGAATATGACTCTGAATCTGAAATCCTGTTCAGTAGATTTTAGGAATTAATTGCAGCAATTAACAATGGTTAACAATATTTTGTTATAATAGGATTTTAGCTTCCTTCAAATATTAATACTAGAAGAGAATGAGAGCAAATATATGACATAAGCCAAAGCAAAATCAGGAGGCTCTTCCCATTAGATTCTCTTTGATTTCTACCTTCTCTAAAGTGTTTTTCTTTTTCCCTATCAAAATTAGGTTTCAGGAAGGAATCTGAAAGCAGTTGTTTGCACACCAGTAGCCATCTTTAAGTCAGCACCCCCTTTTCTTCTGTAGAACAAAAGATTTGTATCCTAGGGAAATTCCTGTGGGAGGGGACGGCCTGCCAGATTTGATAGCTCTTCTAGCTCTAGGCGGGCCCAGTGCCCTCCTCTCCTCCTTCCCCCCTACACCCCCCACCTCGTCATCCAGAGTCCAAGATCATTTTTATTTCGAAGACAGCACAAAACTTTATGGAGAGCTCGGAACAGTGTTCAGAGTTTAGAAAAAGACCTCAGAGATCTTCTAATCCAGCTAGAGAGAAAGCCTGTATCATAAAGTCTTGGTGGTGGTTGTCAAACCTGGTTAGGATGGAAATGGTTGGGAACAGCTCTGAGCTTGTGCACTGGGAATGTTCCTTTGTTGCAAATTGTGGGTCCCCTTCTTCCCCCATAACAGAGGAGATTATGTTCAGGGTTCAGAGAGTGAAAATATTTTTATTTAAAATGTATGGTAGATCAGAGGAAACTCTGCCGGTTAGAAGGAAAGATTTTTATTTTCATTTTGCCCCATTTGGTTTCCTCAAGTAACATAAAGAAGCTTGAAATGATGAGAACTAAGCCTCCTACTTCATTAACAGCTGGGACAGGGCAGTGCCCTTGGAGAAATGTGCCTTGGTCTGATGGACAGGAGCTGGTAAAAATAGGGAGAAGCAGGGTAAGAGATCAGAGTACTCATACCAGGGCACCAGCCAGGTTATCTGCTGGTGGTTGCGATACTGCTTGGAAATGCAACTTGACTCTTACTACAAGACAGGGCCAAGCAACTCAAAATGCAGGTCTCAATCTGGGACTAGTCAAGAGCCCCCATGGCCAGCCCTGGCCACCCTCAGGGAGGTTCTCTCCATTTATCTAGATTGAAGACTACCATGGTACTGGAGAATCAGTGTTCATCCTTAAGGAAAATACATGTCCTTTGGTTAAGGAATTTGCTCATAAATGAAAAAGTGAAAGACCATTGTGTGTTCCAGTCACTCAGTCGTGTCTGACTCTTTGTGACTCCATGGACTGTTAGCCCGCCAGGCTCCACTGTCAGTGGAGTTCTCCAGTCAAGAATACTGGACTGGGTTGCCATTCCCTTCTTCAAGGGATCTTCCTGACCCAGGGACTAAACCTGGGTCTCCTGCATTGCAGGAGGATTCTTTACCACCTGATCCACCAGGGGAGTGAAAGAATTTATAGGAGTGGATTTAAAAAAAATTTATTTCATGCAGAATGGTAGAATGTGAAAGGACTGGAGTTACCCTTTAACATATACTGACCTCCCCAATTTCCTGGTTTGTGATCACTTGACTTTTCCTTCTTTGTGGTCACTTGATTTTTATGACGCTGACCACAGAATTCTAAGAACGGGAAGCCAAATTACCAAACCAAATTAAATGTCACTGTATATGAGACACTTCAGATGTGCATTTAAAAATTTAAATGTTAGTTTTTTTGATAATATAATAAAACCTTATTATCCAGAACCTCAGGGAAGGGGGAGTTGATCTGAATAGGTACATATTCATTATACTTTAGGACTTGAATCTTTACACACCCACCCCTTTTTACTTTAAGAATTTTGGATGGCTCTCTTTCTATAATTTCCTCACTTCTTTTATACAAGATGCTGTAAATAATTCAACCGTTTCTTGATGACTCAGAATTATTATTGTGATACCAATGAAAGAAATCTGGCATAGAACCAAAAATGCATTGCATACCCCAGAGAATAAAGGTTGATTTTTTTCAGTATAAAAGGTAGCTGTGCTTTCCAACTTCTGGTATCTGCTCAACGTACTTTTTTTTTGGTCAGGCTTTCATTTCTTTTCTTTCACTATGCTTACTCTAGCCTTGTCTTCTCCTCATTTGTTGCATAAAATTTGCTATAAACTGTAAACTCATTAGAAACCAGATTCTTTCACTTAGTAAAAATTTCCCAAGTGCCTGCTGGATCCTAGACACAGTGGTCTAGGACCACTGGGGACATACAAGGGATCAGCCATGGTCCCCCTTTGCCCTCACAAGGCTCAGTCTTTGATATAATTACAAACCCCCACACGAAATGCTACATGAAGGCATGTATGCCAGACAGCTATGGGAACATGGGAGAGAAGGAACAGGGTTACCTAACTTGGGATGGTGAAAATCAGCCTGCTTCTAAGACTATTTCATTAACTAGATACACAAAATGACAAAAGGCATTCTAACCGGAGAGAAAGGCAGGTGTAAGCTATGAAGGAACGTCAATCCACAAAACTTTCTGAAAAATGGAAGCATGTCAGCCTCAGAGTGTGTCTTCATATGCTCACTTGAGAGAACCATGAACAGGTATTAAGGGCAGGAAATGTCTTGCTGCTATTACATTTATTTTCTAGGTTCCTAGTTATATTCTGGGTAAGTGAGTTTTCCAAACAGCTGAGTTTCTGATAGGGAACGTGTAAATATCTGTAAATGGCTTTTTACTATATAGAACATATAATGGACAGAACTACTTTTGATTTGGAGGACTGAGTGATCAAAGATTCCAATCTAAGAGGAAAATAGCTTTCTTTTAGATATTAGCAAATGAGCTGATACATTTTCAGAAGTGTCTTAAACAACATGAAAACTTTTTATAAGAGAAATCATTTATCCTCTATCTATATATGTAGATTGCATTTTAAAGACATTGTAATGCTTGAATTAGTAATGCAAGCAAATGTATGTTTAAGAAATGACAGTATTTTGACCACCACAAAGTATTTTAACTCTATAAGGACTGAGAAAAATAAATTTTGCACAACTGATACACTGTGGATTAAAAATCAGCTTTAAAAATACAAGCTTGATGGAAAAGATTCATGGACTTTAGGAAACTAGATTAACATGTAAAAAATGTCTGGATAAGTCATGAATCTGTTTTTCCCCTTCAGTCAAGGTACATAGTAAAATGAAGCCCATACTATCTTTAATGCTAACAGGATGCAAATTGAGATCAAGAGAAACAAAGTCACTCGAAATGGCCAATATATATATAACAGCATATAGAAGGAATTCATTTTATATCATATCATCCCATCAACCTTGAGGATGTAATCGTCAAAATTCGTATTTAATTGTGTAGTCTTAACACGGGGGTGCTCTGTACAAATAGTGGATGTGAGAGAGTTAAACAGCAGTGTTTGTTTAGAAACAATTTGGGATTTGTAGTTGACTGCAAGATTAATATGAGCCACCAGTGTTACAACAGGGTTGTCTAAAAAGCTCATGCAATTTGGGGAGGCTAATAGGAATGTAAGATCCACAGCAAAAGCAGTGATAGCTTCAAGTTTCTATGAGTTGGAAGTGCCTGGAGATGTGCTCGGTTTTGGTTCCATACTTGGTGCAATCATAAAGCAGTTTATGTGAGGAAAGATGGCTAAATCAACCTAGGCGAGTTAACTTGGATAAAAAGGCGGATATGATGGCAGTTTTAAAGCAGCTGAATGACTATTGTGTGGAATGATTAAAATTGCTCACTGTGGCTCCAAAGGCCAGAAGTAGGACTCCTGGGTGGAAGTTACAGGAAGACAGACCTCTGTTTAATGCAAGTATGGATGTTTCAATAGTTACGGAGCTTTTAAAAAATGGAATGACCTGTTCTGGGACATAATGAATTCTTTGCCACCTGAGGAATTAAACTAGAGCTCAGTCTTTTGCAGGGAATTTTATGAGAGAATTCAATCATTGGTTTACAAGACTGGAGAAGTTAAGGACTCTTTGAATTCTGATTCAGTGATTCTATGATTAAGCTGCATGTTGCTACCTGACCCTATGGTCAGTCTTCTGATTGCAGATGGTAAGTTTCAAACTTTTCATTGGTTTTGAATTCACTAGTTCATTAGAATTAGAAGAAAAAATAATCAAGTTTTCAAAACTATACTCAACCTGCAATTTCTCATATTCCTGGAAATGATTAACTAGAAGAAAACACAAAACTAGAAGAAAATCTAAATACAATTTAATTTTGGAGGGCAATGTGGTAAAATAATGATTTAAAGACTACAACTATGACTCATAGCTCATTTTTCAGAAGATGGCCTATGTAATACTGCTTTGATGTTTTAGTAACAGTAAATGAAATGAAACATTCTGTGTAAAAGATTATTATTTTGATATTTATCATTTGTCAGGTATTCAAATTTAATATAAGCATTCTTGAAAGATGACAGGTTTAAAAAGGTTCTGTTGATATTTTTCCTCTTTGTGAAAGCCGGCAGTACTTGGAGATGAAAAATAGAAAGCAATGGCTAGAAGATTGGTAGTTGGTAGAATGGAGAACTAAGCAATTTGCAAAACTAAAGAACAAAACTAAAAACAGGGCAGCATTCTGAGCTGGAATCTACTGAAAGGAATAAATAAAACCAAATACCTGAATCTGTAATTAGCATCCACCTCTGCATACTGGTGAAGAAAGTTTGTTTTAACTTTTCTTCCTTTTTTACTCTGGCATGGGAATTTTCTAGTTATGTTTGCTTTGGCTAATAATAAAATCAGTCTGTGCTCATATCTGCTTGCTCTTCCCAAACACACAGACTGATGGCCTGAGTGTGACTCTTTCACAAACGGAAAGAAGAAAGCAGTGTGAAATTAAAAATCAGCCACAGATATAACCTGAAAGGAGTGAATCCACACACTTTAGATTTGACTTCATTTGGCCAATTCAACTTTAAAAGTCACTTTGCCTCAAAACCACTACAATATTGTAAAGTAACTAGCCTCCAACTAATAAAAATAAATTAAAAAAAATAAAAATAAAAAATAAAAAAGGAAAAAAAAAGTCACTTTGCCTCAAATATTACCTTCTTCCAATACTTTTTTAACTCTGTATGTTGGGTCTCTTCCCTGTTAAATGTTGAGGATACAAAGAGTAAAAAGATGGAGTCTATTCTTAAGGGACTAAAATTCTAATTATGATTATAGAATTATTAAATTCAAAACTATATTATGGCACTTTTTTGGGGTAGGGGTGGAACGTGCTATGAAACACTGAGGATAAACTAATATTGAAAATTTTACACCAGCCTAAAAAGTGATGCGGTTTTGAAGGAAATTTTTTTAAAAAAACATTCTTACCTCCAGCTACAAGTCCAGACTCCCCTAATTGAATAGCTACCCCAAAGCCCCCAAGTTTAACAGGTGCTGAATTTTCCTTTGAGGCAAGGAGAACACAGTGGGGCTGAAAAGAAAAACAAACAAACCAGAGAAAATGATTAATTGTCAATGAACAATTTACACAAAGCCAAATAACATGACCATATTTGTTGTTGTTCAGTTGCTAAGTTGCGTCTGAGTCTTTGTGACCCCATGGACTGTAGCCTGTTAGGCTCCTCTGTCCATAGGATTTCCCAGGCATGAATACTAGAGTGGGTTGCCATTTCCTTCTCCAGGGGATCTTCCCAGACCAAGGATCAAACCTGCGTCTCCTGCATTGGCAGGTGGATTCTTAACCACTGAGGCATCAAGGAAGCCCATATAGTAAAATAAAAACTCTTGGAATTAGTTTGGATGCTTGAATTATTTGTCTATTCTCATGTCTGGCTGATTTCTCCAAAGACTTACCTGTTTTTTCCAACATTTTTCAGGAATTATTTACTTCCAAGATTAGGGTATGGTGCTTGGAACTACTCAGGAAGAATGGATGTTCAAGACAGACAGATGTGTTTTCTGCCTTTTCATGCAATATTTTCTCTCAGTGAGTGAGAGCCTACATTTGTTTAAGGAAAAGTATATTTTACACCTAAGTTTCTTGAAATCTGACTTGATCTACAGAGCCACTGTATCTTGGCCCTTGGGGGTTACTGATGACCCTTTCTCTGCCCCCTCTCCCACCATCCTATTTTTCTTTATTTGTTCGATTCCCAAGTAAGATTTAATGACTTTAATTGAGCCCTTCTCCTCGGGAATTCAATGCTCTTCCTTGCTGGGGTCTCTTCTCTGGATGTGCCCTTCCTCTCCGTGGGAAGGGGAAGTGAGAAAAGAGAAGGGGGGAAGGAGACTACTGGGCTGGCCTCTAGTCCAGGGTAAAGACACCCCCCCCCACCCCCCGCCTGAGGAGCAGCTGCTTGACCAGGGCTCTCTAAGAATCACATGATTTTTGGTTATGTGAGAGTCTCTTTATAGAACCTAGTCCTCCTGCATCTGCCTTTTTCTGGGACCGAGTTGGGGCTGGTGTCAGGAAGGCATTTAATTGTAGGGAACTTTGGTCTCTGCTCAAATACTACGCTCCTCTCTGTGACTAACATTACATATGCTATGACCTGCTCTTAAAATATCAGTTTAGTGAAAAAGGCAAGCCTCTTCAGGCTTGGAAGATAAAGGTACTTTTTATTCTCTCCCACACTTGATCAGATGTAAAATGACCCAGTTTTAGTTCAGGTTTAGCCCAGATGATAGTGGGCATGAAGAGACCCATGCAATAAAATTCTGAGCTGGTACACCCAGAGTGATGTTTAATGATGGATACGCAAAAGTGGGAAGGATTCTTTTATACTTTAGAAGTTATTTTTTGTCCAAGGGTATTTAAAGACCTTTACAATAGAGTGTAGCACAAAGAAAAACGAGCCCTTGAGTATAAATGTGTGTATGAGTGTGTATGAGTGAGAGAAAGAGGAGAGAAAAAGCAAGCGTACATGGATGGTGAGCAAACTGCAGGAAGACACAAAGTAGCTGGTAGGGTCTACAGAAAGACAGGCAAACCTCTACAGAAACCAACTGACAAGAGTGCTCTCTCTCAATGCGAACTCTCAGTTGGTTCAAACAGAGATCAATGATAAGAGATCTAGTGTGGGGCATGTCAAATGAACAAGCTTAGAAAAGGATGGGCCTGATGCAGAAGAAGAAAACACAGAATAGACCCAGAAAGGGTCTCCCCGCCAGTGTCATCATTACCTTCTTTGGAAGGAGTAGTAGAAGCTTAAATTGGAATCCCAGAGTATACACTTTATAGTTTGTTGACTATATCTACCTTGGACGTGGGATAGCTCCTCTCAGCCACTCCTGCACCATTGCAGCCTGGTGCTCTCGGTTGCCGCCCCTGACCTTGGGCGTCGCAGCCGCCGCGCTTCTGCGCGCTGCGTCGCAGCCGCCGCGCTTCTGCGCGCTGCGTCGCAGCCGCCGCGCTTCTGCGCCGCCCTTCTGCGTGCTGCGTCACAGCCGACGCACTTCTGCGTGCTGCGTCACAGCCACTGCGCTTCTGGCGGAGAGGAGCTACCCCACGTCCGAGGTCAGGGGCGGCGGCCGAGAGGAGCTACCCCAAGGAGCACAGGCTGCGCAGGCGCAGGAGGGCAGAGAGGAGCTACTCCACGTGCAAGGTCAGGAGGGGCAACCACGTCTAAGCGGCTGCGCTTTGCTGGAGCAGCCGTTAAGAGCTACCCCACGTCCAAGGTAAGAGAAATCCAAGTAAGAAGGTAGGTGTTGCAAGAGGGCATCAGAGGGAAGACACACTGAAACCATACTCACAGAAAACTAGCCAGTCTAATCACACGGACCACAGCCTTGTCTAACTCAGTGAAACTAAGCCATGCCGTGTGGGGCCACTCAAGACGGATGGGTCATGGTGGAGAGGTCTGACAGAATGTGGTCCACTGGAGAAGGGAATGGCAAACCACTTCAGTATTCTTGCCTTGAGAACCCCATGAACAGTATGAAAAGGCAAAA